TCAGTGTCTTCATTCTGATAAAGACGATTTGATAGAAAATTTGTTCAAAACCACGACCCAACATTACAAAAAGTTCACTTCCTGTTGACGAGCGTCGCTCAAAAACGTATTTGCTCAAACTCCCGAATATCGCGTGAAACGCTTTGCAAATCCGATTTTATGAAAAAGACCGACAGAATTGCAGTCCGGAGTAAAGCCTGACTACACTGTATGTGGGGAACTGAAACGGACATCAACTTTTGCATACCTTCTTCGTTTCATCTTTCTCATGGTATATGTTGCTCAATGGCTGAAATAAATCATTGACTCCATCACTTATCATATCCGCTGTCGCTTCATCAAAACTGTCAGCTGGGCACAAACCTAATCACCATAAGTAAAAATGAAAGCTAGTCTAGCATTCGCCTTCTTAACTAATAAAAAGCAAGAGGAAAAAAAGAAAGAGAGAAAGGAAAAGAAGAGAAGGTAAGAAAGAGAGAGTGAAAAGGAGAAAAAAGAATCAGAGACAAGAAATAAGAGAAAAGAAAAGAAAAGAAAAGAGAGAGAGAGAAAGAACGGAGAGACGGACAGACGGACTGTTTGATGGATGAATGGATGGATGGATGGATGGGTTGATGGATGAATGAATGAATGAACGAATGAATGAATCGAATGGCGAGAAAAAAAAAACTTGAAAATAATCTTGTATAAACTATATCGGCAGGTAGACTCCTACGAAGACCTTCTTAGGGCTTTGCTTTCCTTGGGGTAAGAACGCGTGATGAAGCTTCCAAATACATCTACTCGGGAGGCTAATGAGCAGGAGTAGCCTGGGAGCCAGCTCTCCTTTTGGGGGAGTCGCGAAAAGTCACGCGAGAACAACACTCAAAAGGAGACACGAGCACGAGGGGTGGGTCACGCGCTCACGCGATCTCTCACGGCTCGAGCGTAGGCTACGGCAGGAATGATAAGCTGATTAACAAATTACGTGCAATACATCACCTCCTTTTTTGCAGATGTACTTCATGATTGTACCAGACTGTGCCAGGGTTTTTCCCTCAGGGGTCACAATGTAGGGCATTTGACCAAGAGGTGGTCTGCCAGCTAAAACAGAACAGACAGAAAAGTAGTAGAACGTCGGGGTTCCTTCTAAAGAGAAGTCAATGGCAGCCCTAATAATTATGCTAAATCCCGGTGGAGGGGGGAGCATTCAATGAAGTCTTATACGGGGAGGCTTCACCCCAAGGTCCAACACCTCATCCTTACATAAATTATTTTTCATCCCTTTCAATTTGAATGATAAATGGTACCCCTGCGTCTTTTCCGAACTTCTGTAAATGCACCATTTGTCTATATGTGAATATATCACTAAACCAGGAAGTTTTCTTGTCGCTTACAAAGCCATAAAATGCGTCTGTTAGACCTTAAGGTCCTTTTACAGGCCGAAATGATAGATTTCCCTACCCTTTCATATACCTGAAACCTGACAAGGTACCTCTTTTGGATGAGGCTTCACCGTCTAGGCCATTATAGGGAGTTCTTCCCCTGGGTGCTTAATTCGATGAACATAAAACGGGAAGTCCAAAGACTACTGCAAGGCTGATCATAACAACGTGTATTCGATACCAGACTGCAGCTTGTGAGCTGTCTCTTAAAATAGTCTTTTTCAAGAGTGGGGCGCGACGTTTATCACGCTTGTGGCAAGGCCGCAGACGCAGTAAACGATGGCATCCGTCACGCAACGCTCCACCCCAGTAGGGGTTTATGGGTACAATACAACACAATCAAATCCAATCCAATCCAATCTAATCCAATAAATTTATTAGTGTCATCACGTGGGATAGGGTTGCCCCAAATATCCGAGCCGGAAGATCATATATAAAACGCATGAGAGGTTAATTCCCCTAGAAGTATAATCTGACGAACATTAACATTTTGCGACCAGCCCGACCACGCCCAAAATTCGAATTTCGTTCATTTTTTTCAGTTTTGGGATTTATAGGATAGTTCCAACCGAGACACATCAGATTTTCACAATCATTTCGCCAAACCTAGACCACGAGCAGTCTCTCTTTTTTCCTCGTCCGTCGAGCGAAACGGAAAAAAGACCACGCGCTTTCGACGGACTTGTTTGTTGCGTTCGCGTTCAACGATAGCGCGTGCTTGCGCTACCCTCACAGTACCAAACTTATAGGACTTCGTCACACGTTCCTTCTGTACAAACGCGCCCACATCGCAAGGAAGGAGCGCGTTGGACGCTCGAAGCGGGGTGGGGGGGGGGGAGTACTTCTGATTTCAAGTGACGGCGGTGATCGAAGGAATTTTTTGGGGGAGGGGCGGGGGCTGAGATTTTCGATTCCAGGATTTTTTGGGTAGGAAAATTTGGCAAGTAGTTTTTTGGCTGGCTTGATTTAAGTAAGGATTTTTAGGGGTATTCAAAATTATCTGAAGTTGTTATTCTGTATAGTGTTATTGTTAAAACAGAAGATGTTCTTGGTTGTCTCGAATGTTGCTATGAAGAGTTATCGAAACAGACACAAACATTCAATTTCTAATATATATTTTTTTGTATTGTATCATTTAATGCCTTCTGGTAATTTTAAAGGCGCGTGAACTCGGCATGGGATTTTTAGGGGGTTAATTTTCTGTCCAGGTAGTTTTTCAGGGTTTTGTTGGAAGCCCTACGGATTTTTGAGTTTTTATTTTTACGCCCATTGGGTCATCGCCGTCACTTGAAAATGTTATTTCTTGGAGGGCCTCTTGAGAACATGATTGGCGTTTCCGTATTATATTCTGATCCTTCAGTTCATGTGAAGAAAAAGCAATCAGAAGGTTCAAAGTTACAATACCAACCGGGTAAGGAATTAAAACCTGGAGAATATTTGAATTGTAAGTTGAAATTATTTTACTTACAAAGCCAGGCTCATTCCCGGAAAACGAGTAAGTTTCCCGCCATAGAAGCTACAAGTAATGTAGATTACAGGAGCTCGTCGATTTTAAAAATGTAACTCTTATTATTTAAAGACCAACCTTCTTTCGTAGCAGTCTTCGAAACCCAGAAACCGTAAGGTTAATTTAGTGTACATGAAATAATAATAATAATAATAATAATAATAATAATAATAATAATAATAATAATAATAATAAAATCAATAGTACCATTTGTGGTCGGCGGTAACCATTAAAAAGAGTGAGCACACCTTTCAGCCTGACAAAGCAATTTTGGTTCAATCAGTTACCAATCCAGCATTTCGCGACCCGATCGAAAATCAAGCGAATGTATGTGTATTTGCCGTCGGCTTTGATCGCATTCCGTTTTAAACAGCTGTTTAAGATTACCAAATTCAAAAGAATCAAAAATTAATTAACCGTCGCGCGCCTTACGGAATTGTCGGGTGAACTTTTAGGTTACTTACAAGCTTTCTCTTTCGGCCATTCTTCGACTGGGACTCGAATGTCCTCGTAGTCAATCTTTGCAGCCGCGAATGCAAGTCGACATTTTTCTCCTCCAGCGCGGCTTTGAAAGTAGAACAACTTGTAGCCAGACATTTCTGCAGAATCTTTCAGTCGAATCTTATACTCTGAGTGCACAACTTCAACACAACAGCCGCTGAAGTTCAATGAACTGCTAACTCATTGCTGACCTTTTATATCCTGACCTGTCAATGTTAAAATTAGAATTCTGTAACGTGTCATTTCACGCAACAGGCCACTCAAAGGAAGTACTACTATGTACTGTACGTGCAAGCAAATATTTTGCCGGAAATTTTTGTAGAGGAAAGGATTGCGAGTTAAATATCCTACCTGAAAAATGTATCAGGATGATAGATTTATCAGCTGAGTTGCCAGAATGTTGAATCAATTTACCGCCACAAACTAATTCAATTCAATAGTTTTGGCATTTTCATATGAATAGATGGCATTACCAATTACAATACTCGTTACATTTATTTAAAAGAGGAGATAATACTGAAATAAGAGGTTTATAATAATTACATAGCAAATTTCTAGTTATATGATCTACATGATCTATATGATCTACTTCTGCTACTTGTTACCTGTTATGGACCATGGAACAAGTTTTATTTTATTTTTCACGTGCCTTCGATGAGTTGGCACCTGAGCCTGCGATACGGTCATTTGAAACTGGTCAGCGGATACACTATTTTGACAGCTGTCAGTTGACCTTAATATGGATCCCATATGGGGGAGTACTTCTGATTTCAAGTGACGGGGCTGATCGAAGGAATTTTGGGGGGGAGGGGCGGGGGGTTGAAATTTTCGATTCCAGGATTTTTTGGGTAGGAAAATTTGGCAAGCAGTTTTTTGGGTGGCTTGATTTAAGTATGGATATTTAGGGGTATTCAAAACTATCTAAAGTTGTTATTCTGTATAGTGTTATTGTTAAAACAGAAGATGTTCTTGGTCGTCTCGAATGTTGCTATGAAGAGTTATCGAAACAGACACAAACATTCAATTTCTAATATTTTTATTTTTCTGTATTGTATCATTTAATGCCTTCTGGTAATTTCTAAGGCTCGTGAATTCGGCATGGGGTTTTTAGGGGGTTAATTTTCGGTCCAGGTAGCTTTTAGGGTTTTGTTGAAAGCCCTACGGATTTTTGAGTTTTTATTTTTGCGCCCATTGGGTCATCGCCGTCACTTGAAAGTTTTATTTCTTGGAGGGCCTCTGGAGAACATGATTGGCGTTTCCGTGTTATATCCGATCCTTCAGTTCATGTGAAGAGAAAACAATCAGAAGGTCCAAAGTTACAATACCAATCGGGTAAAGTATTAAAAACCAGGAGAATATTTGAATTGTAAGTTGAAATTATTTTACATACAAAATAAAGCCAGGCTCATTCCCGGAAAACGAGTAACTTTCCCGCCACAAAAGCTATAAGTGATGTAGACTACAGGAGCTCGTCGATTTTCAAAATGTAACTCTTATTATTTAAAGACAACCCTCTTTCGTCGCAGTCTTCGAAACCCAGAAAACGTAAGGTTAATTCAGTGTACATGAAATAATAATAATAATAATAATAATAATAATAATAATAATAATAATAATAATAAAATCAATGATACCATTTGTGGTCGGCGGTAACCATTAAAAAGGGTGAGCACACCTTTCAGCCTGACTAAGCAATTTTAGTTCAATGTAAATGTAAATGTAAATGTCGCGATTGAGAGGACAAACATACATGTCCTCTTTACATAGCTTTCTGCAGTGGGCTCGGACATCAGCATACTAAGAGCGCCGATGGCAGCCGCTATCAGTCCATTTATGAGCGCACTGAACCCTCCCAACCCATGATGAGTGATGATGTAAGTGATGAAGATAGACCACAACACCGGGAACTACGTCCCCTACTCTTTTCGAATAGTGTGTGGGTTCTTTAACGTCCCACAGAGTTATATGTGAGTTACCATATCAGTTACCATTCCAGCATTTCGCGTGTGCAATTCAGTGTACATGAAATAATAATAATAATAATAATAATAATAATAATAATAATAATAATAATAATAATAATAATAATAATAATAATAAAATCAATGATACCATTTGTGGTCGGCGGTAACCATTAAAAAGAGTGAGCACACCTTTCAGCCTGACTAAGCAATTTTAGTTCAATCAGTTACCCATCCAGCATTTCGCGACCCGATCGAAAATCAAGCGAATGTATGTGTATTTGCCGCCGGCTTTGATCGCATTCCCTTTGAAATAGTTATTTAAGATTACTGAATTGAAAAGAATCGAAAATTAACCGTCGTGCGCTTTACGGAATTGTCTGGTGAGCGTTTATGTTACTTACACGCTTTCTCTTTTTCCCATTCTTCGACTGGCAGTCGAATATCCTCGTAGTCAATCTTTGCAGCGGCGAATGCAAGTCGACATTTTTCTCCTTTAGCGCGGCCTGGAAAGAAGAACAACTTGTAGCCAGACATTTCTGCAGAATGTTTCAGTCGAATCATATACTCTGAGTGCACAATTTCGGCACAACAGCCGCTGAAGTTCAATGAACTGCTAACTCATTTCTGACCTTTTATATCCTGACCTGTCAATGTTAAAATTAGAATTTTGTAAATTTCAGCAGTCGTGGTACGTGTTATTTCACGCAACAGGCCACTCAAAGGAAGTACTACAATGTACTGTACGTGCAAGTAAATATTTGGCCGGAAATTTTTGTAGAGGAAAGGATTGCGAGCTAAATATTCCACCTGAAAAATATATCAGGATGATAGATTTACCAGCTGAGTTGCCAGAATGTTGAATCAATTTACCGCCACAAACTAATTCAATTCAATTTTTTGGCATTTTCATATGAATAGATGGCATTGCCGATTACAATACTCGTTACATTTAAGTAAAAGAGGAGATAATTACAATAAAGGGGGCGATCCCGCACCTATTTGAAAGGTTGTTTGTGATTAGCTGGGAAAACAATAGGGATTGTCACATAACAATGCCCCTATCCCTAAAAACAATCGAAGCGCAGATTAAAGGGGACCACTGAAATAAGAGGTTTAGAATAATTTCATAGCAAATCTCTAGTTATATGATCTACAAGATCTATATGATCTATTTCTGCTACTTGTTACCTGTTATGGACCATGGAACAAGTTTTATTATACTTTTCACGTGACCTCGATGAGTTGGCACCTGAGCCTGCGATACGGTCATTTGACACTGGTCAGCGGATACACTGTAATAAGATTGTGCTGTGTTTGAATGTAATAATGATCGCCTTTTTCCCGAGAAATATACAGTGAAAGACCATATTTCTAATACTAAACTAGAAAAAGGCGATCATTATTACATCCAAACATGGCACAATGATTTTTTTCCCATTGCAATTTTATTCTAAGAAAACTTTAAGAAAAAATGTCCCGAAAAGCGCTCGAAAATACAAACGAAATGTGCTCATGCCCCCTGGGCGTCCTATAATACCCCTTAAATCGAATTAACTCAATATGGCCGCCGTATCGGAAAAAAGTTCTATTGCGCGCGGTTCGAGCGCGCTTGGAGCTCCGCTGTTAAGAGGAAGAGTATCATATCAGTTCACAGATCAGAGAGTGATTCAACTGAGGATCGATATTTGTTACCTATAGGATAAAAGACAAAGTGTTGTTCTTCAAGATAAAGGAAGCAATAAAGAGAGTATGAAGTGTTTCCCGTCTTCCATTTCACTAAGAGAACAATATTTCCATATTCTCATATATAAAATGTTGAGGCATTTTGGTTGAGCAGTATCCTCCATATTCTATTATTAGTTTATGATTATTTGTTCTTAATTTTGCCGTCGCTCATCGGTGGTTTGAGTTTTTCTTTCATAAAGTCTAGATAGGTAAAAAGACTGATTTCCATCAGTGTCTTTCTTCAGAAAAAGATAGCTGGATGGAATTGATTTGGTTTTACTTTATACTTCAATGATATTTTTAGTCAGTTATCTCTAATTTACCTATTTGTCGAGTTTAGTCGTTTTTGATCCTTTTTTGTTTAACTGAGAACAAATTTGATTTGATTTGATTTGCGGAAGAGATGGAAGAGTGTTTCCCTGTATTTGCCAATTCTTTTTATATACTCATGAGAAAGTATTCTGCTTTTATATAGACTATAATTACAGTACGTGCCAAAGCAAATATTTTGCCTGAAATTTTACGAAGAGGAAAGAATTACGAATCAAATATTCCACATGAAAAATATATCAGGATTATAGATTTTTCAGCTGAGTTGCCTAGGATATTGAATCAATCTACCGCAACAAACATTAGAAGCTCGTTTATTTAAACCAAGAAAGTATTTATAGAATTGGGAGAATATAGTAGCCTTTCCGCAGGGCCATACTTCAGAGTTATAGAATAATAATAATAGGTTAAATAGTGTGGTAAAAAGCTTGCTGCCTATAGCAGTCGATAGGTCAAGAAAGCTTTTGGCTGCAACAGCTGCGTCTACACTTTTTCTACCAAAAGTGAGCGCTAACCCCTCTGCGGGGTTAAACGATAGAGGGAGCCTGCCGCTCGACACGTTTGGCGGAATTTACTTCCTTAGCGAGTGATATTGAAGCGGACCAGAAGAAGTGTCTTTTTCCAACACTTCTTCAGACCTGTCTCTAATATCCATCCCCGTTTTTAGAGCAAGCAAACGAGGGTCACAAACGCGACATACATGGGCAGAAATTATGTCATCATATACTCTGATTAAAACACCCTCAAGGGTTTCTTTAAACCATTTCAAATTCGCATCTGTTAGTTCACTCAGTCTTTCTTACTCTTGCATTAGCGAGCAGCGACACTATAATGAGATATGACGTTTATGGCAGATGCTGTGATACTTTACCTTTTTCACTTCGTCCTCTTCATAGTATGGAAATAGAGTACTGGTTCTCACAAATCAATAGCATCTTCTTCATGGATCATATCAGCAAAATTCGTTTAAACTGACATCTCATTTAACTCAAGCCCAAGCCCGCTGTCCTTGACTCATGTAAGCCTAACAAATTAAGTCGAATCCCGCTTTACGGACACTGGACCACGAGCGGCAAGCCTTCTTTCCTCAGAGCTTCGCGCGGCGAGCGAAAAAGTAAACTTCACTGGGATACCATAAAACCTAGAGCAGAGTGGAAATGTTATGTCGCAAGAAAACGCGAAATTAGTCGGAACAGACAGCAAAAAACTATTACAATGGAACAGCTTTGAGCTTCAAGTGATTCGACTGCATAAGCGCAAGTTACCTTGAACAATAGTGAACTGCATAAAGAATTTGCAATCCCAACTTTACATACATATGATATCCTCGTAGTCAATCTTTGCAGCGGCGAATGCAAGTCGACATTTTTCTCCTTTAGCGCGGCCTGGAAAGAAGAACAACTTGTAGCCAGACATTTCTGCAGAATGTTTCAGTCGAATCATATACTCTGAGTGCACAATTTCGGCACAACAGCCGCTGAAGTTCAATGAACTGCTAACTCATTTCTGACCTTTTATATCCTGACCTGTCAATGTTAAAATTAGAATTTTGTAAATTTCAGCAGTCGTGGTACGTGTTATTTCACGCAACAGGCCACTCAAAGGAAGTACTACAATGTACTGTACGTGCAAGTAAATATTTGGCCGGAAATTTTTGTAGAGGAAAGGATTGCGAGCTAAATATTCCACCTGAAAAATATATCAGGATGATAGATTTACCAGCTGAGTTGCCAGAATGTTGAATCAATTTACCGCCACAAACTAATTCAATTCAATTTTTTGGCATTTTCATATGAATAGATGGCATTGCCGATTACAATACTCGTTACATTTAAGTAAAAGAGGAGATAATTACAATAAAGGGGGCGATCCCGCACCTATTTGAAAGGTTGTTTGTGATTAGCTGGGAAAACAATAGGGATTGTCACATAACAATGCCCCTATCCCTAAAAACAATCGAAGCGCAGATTAAAGGGGACCACTGAAATAAGAGGTTTAGAATAATTTCATAGCAAATCTCTAGTTATATGATCTACAAGATCTATATGATCTATTTCTGCTACTTGTTACCTGTTATGGACCATGGAACAAGTTTTATTATACTTTTCACGTGACCTCGATGAGTTGGCACCTGAGCCTGCGATACGGTCATTTGACACTGGTCAGCGGATACACTGTAATAAGATTGTGCTGTGTTTGAATGTAATAATGATCGCCTTTTTCCCGAGAAATATACAGTGAAAGACCATATTTCTAATACTAAACTAGAAAAAGGCGATCATTATTACATCCAAACATGGCACAATGATTTTTTTCCCATTGCAATTTTATTCTAAGAAAACTTTAAGAAAAAATGTCCCGAAAAGCGCTCGAAAATACAAACGAAATGTGCTCATGCCCCCTGGGCGTCCTATAATACCCCTTAAATCGAATTAACTCAATATGGCCGCCGTATCGGAAAAAAGTTCTATTGCGCGCGGTTCGAGCGCGCTTGGAGCTCCGCTGTTAAGAGGAAGAGTATCATATCAGTTCACAGATCAGAGAGTGATTCAACTGAGGATCGATATTTGTTACCTATAGGATAAAAGACAAAGTGTTGTTCTTCAAGATAAAGGAAGCAATAAAGAGAGTATGAAGTGTTTCCCGTCTTCCATTTCACTAAGAGAACAATATTTCCATATTCTCATATATAAAATGTTGAGGCATTTTGGTTGAGCAGTATCCTCCATATTCTATTATTAGTTTATGATTATTTGTTCTTAATTTTGCCGTCGCTCATCGGCGGTTTGAGTGTTTTTTCATAAAGTCTAGATAGGTAAAAAGACTGATTTCCATCAGTGTCTTCTTCAGAAAAAGATAGCTGGATGGAACTGATTTGGTTTTACTTTATACTTCAATGATATTTTTAGTCAGTTATCTCTAATTTACCTATTTGTCGAGTTAAGTCGTTTTTGATCCTTTTTTGTTAAACTGAGAACAAATTTGATTTGCGGAAGAAATGGAAGAGTGTTTCCCTGTATTTGCCAATTCTTTTTATATACTAATGAGGAAGTATTCTGCTTTTATATAGACTATAATTACAGTACGTGCCAAAGCAAATATTTTGCCGGAAATTTTACGTAGAGGAAAGAATTACGAATCAAATATTCCACATGAAAAATATATCAGGATTATAGTTTTTTCAGCTGAGTTGCCTAGGATATTGAATCAATCTATACCGCAACAAACATTAGAAGCTCGTTTATTTAAACCAAGAAAGTATTTATAGAATTGGGAGAATATAGTAGCCTTTCCGAAGGGCCATACTTCAGAGTTATACAATAATAATAGGTTAAATAGTGCGGTAAAAAGCTTGCTGCCTATAGCAGTAGATAGGTCAAGAAATCTTTTTGCTGCAACAGCTGAGTCTACAAGTGAGCGCTAACCCCTCTGCGGGGTTGAACGATAGAGGGAGCCTGCCGCTCGACACGTTTGGCGGA